CTCGTTATGGAGAGCCATCAAATTACACATCCCAGGCCGGAACCAATATTCAACGGATGCACAACTGATTGTTCTCAAAACATGGCTTTCGCGCTCCAGGAGCTGCCGTCTATCTCTATCCTTGGAACAAGACAGACTGCTGAGGGTCTCCAAACTGTCCTATTTCACGGACACCCTCATCTCGCACGCAGCGCGCTGGGAACACGTGGAAATAACCGGCTTCAATAACCTTGACTGGATTGCAGGCCCGTTTCCGCTGCTTTGCCGACTGACACTCGTACCCTCATCTAGGGTGGGAAAAGCTCGTAAAAAATTGACATTGTTTCACGATGCACCACACTTGACAAGTGTCGTACTTGGCGAGTTATTCGAACTGTCCGATGTGGTCCTGCCGTGGTCACAGCTTACCAGCATCACTGCTGAGAGTCTTGCGCTCGAAGATGCAGCCAACATTCTGCGGAAGGCCACCGTCCTCGTGAATTTCCGCTGCAGCCTAAGGGAAGTCGATGATGTTCCAAGAGCCGTAAGGCGACTTGTTCATCTCGAATCCTTGATCATATTTTCCGTCGAAGATTTTTTCCGCGATTCCCAACAACTACTCCTTGATGCACTCACCACACCGGCCCTGCGACATCTCTCAATATCCGAACGCGAGCTCGCCTTCGATCCGATTTCCACCATCACCTCCTTTCTCTCCAGATCACACTGTTCCCTCGACTCTCTCCACGTCACCCACTCCCGGCGTGACCAGGCGGAGTATCGTGCCGCTTTCCCGCGCATCAAAGTCATCCAAGTTTTGGATGATGATTCAGATGACGATCTGGATGAGGATGAGGAGGCTAGTAGTGATGATGGCGACGACTGATTTCCTATTGGTGTTGGTGTGTCACGCACTTCACGCTTTGTGCTTTTCTCGATTCCCAATATTATAGCGGGTCTTTGGCATCGATTCTTCTGTTCTCGACGACCTTTTCTGTTATTCCTTCTTCTGGAGCACGTGCCTTCGCCTTTCCTCATCCTTCTTCCACAGACAATATTCCATTCTGCATCGCTGCACCACATAACTTGGATCATAAGTGGAGGAATAGTTGAAAGAGTTGGGTTTTCGATTATTTTCAATTGTAATGGCCAGCGGTTCAATGTTGATGTTATACCGACATTTCTTTGACCCACTTGTGGGTGGGCCCTCCGCCCGATTTTATTTATTTATTTTCAAGCTCAAGTATTGGCGTCAAGTTTTACATTACTGATTCATTCCCTGCATCGCTGGCGAATAGTACGTGTAGAACGCCTACGAAACTCGCAGACCAAAAATGATGATTAGTATTGGCAATAATGGAGTGAACAAATAGATACCAGTCCCCAACCGAGGGGAAAGGGAAGAATAGCTGAAGGTGGCCTAATATAATCGGCCTGTCTACTAAACAACCAACTGCTTCTCAAATTGCGAGGCGACAGTACCCCTGGCACCATGTTGGCAGCGTCTCTGCCGACGATGTCCAGGCCGCTCGTTATTGTCAAGGGGCGCGGTGAGATACACGAGTACAGTTAGGCTGTGGATGGAATAAGTAATGCGTGCAGGAGGGTAACGCTGAAGTATATTCTGAAGCGCGTTGGGATAATGGCGGAGGAAGGATGGAGGAATAAATAAACTGGATGCGAGGAGGAGAATGGGTTCGATTGGGTTGGTAGATAGATGAGAGTGGAACGATATGGGAGGTATGTAGGTAACAAAGGAGAGGAAGACTGGAAAGTATGACAATGCAATGATATCGCAAAAACAGGAGGGGAAAGCAGTGTCCCAGAACGCACCCACCTCCGTATGGAGCCGGATAACGCGATTGAAGCCCTCCCGCTGAAACTGCAAAGCTTGGAGGCGCGCGCGGTGAGCTCAGGGCACGCCCAGAAGCGCAGAGACACATCATTCGGCCTCGGCCCGCCAGCCCGACTCATTCTGTCCATGTCCCGCACCACCACTAGCACCAACTCCATGCCCGGGTATACTCTACACCATACGGGCAGCGCAACGCGGACGACACGTCTTCCCTGCGCCCGCCCGCACCACCACTCCCACCCGGACGACATCCACCACCAGCACCACGGCGACTACGGGAGGGCAGCGCAACTTCGACACGGGGTTCTCTCTCCTCCGCTATCCTCCCGCGCGCGCGCCTCGGCCGCATCTCCATTCCCACAACGTCGATAGCGCGAATGGGCTGCGCGTATACAAAACGTCCCGTCGTGCCCGCTAACCACCACCCGCACCCGCACCCCGAGACCAGTGTCGATACCGCTCACGGCGAGGGCAACCGCCCGCCGCATCATCATTCCCCCACAGCTCCTCGGCAGCGGAGACGAAGGCGCAGGCGGGGTGCCGAGACAACGTGGTGGCGGAGATGTAAGGGCGAGGACGCGCTGAGTAATGCAGATGCGCCGCTGCTACTGGTCGCATGCGGGGTCAGTAGGTGGGTCAGGCTGGCGGAGGCATTTGCGCGAAATAGCGCGCGCGCACTGCGGGACAATACGCGAAGTAGGAGTGCCGATGCGCTGCTGGCGGAGGTCGAATCCTCAGCGCGCGCACGCCGGCGGGAATCTCGCACCTCGCACGTGCGGCGGCACGAAGTGATAAGTCGGAGTGCGCGTGGCGAAGCGCGATGGACGGGACGGAAGACGTGGCGGGGCATGTGGATGGAGATAACGCGACCCTGTGGGCACGAGGCACTGGCCGCAGCGCGAACTTGGGTGGAGCCTGCACGGTGAGACCCCGATGAGACCCCGATGAGGCCACGATGCGGATATGGCCACGGGTGCGCGCCGCGCGAGGAAGGGCACTCGACGAGTGCTTGCCGTCGCACTGCGCTGGGCGGGCGGGGGTTCCGGCGGGTGCATTGCGTCTCCATCTGTGCCCGGCGCGCGCAGGTGTTGCCATCCATCGGGCGACGGGGGCGACCTGCAGCGCCGTCCGCTTGGCCTCCGCTTGGCGCAATACGCGGGAGCCATGCGCGGGGGAGCCAGGACGGTATTGTACGTCTTGAGGCGGATGTGCTGCGTCATCGGGAGGCGCCCTAATAATGGTATGTGTGGTGCAGGTGCAGGACGAAGTCGGTACATCCGCATCGGCGATTCAGTAGGCACACCAGAACGCCGAGATCGTCTTGTCCTGCGCGATGCGCGCGGCGGTGGTTACGCCAGTGCAGTACACCTGCTGCGTCGGCGCAGTACACCTGTTACGACGGCGCAGTACAACTCCCGCCGGCACGGGGGTGCAGCAGGGCGTTGACCACGGGAAGGACACGGATTAGAGAGCGCTGTAGGCGGTATGGCGCTGCGAGCAGTCGATGCGGAAGCGAGAGGGTGGGACGGCGGAAAGCCCTGCGCGCGCTCCCGGCGGATCGGGCTACGAGGGCCTGCAGCGTTGCGAGGGTATCGATACCGTCGAGAAGGAATCCGGGATGTCGTGCTGGTAGAATCTAATCGGATCGGATCGAAAGTCAGTATTCTGGGCGCATGATGGGAGCAAGATGAAAACCATATGGGGGGAAGGAAAGGAGGTACGGGGGACACTTGGTGGCGGGGCGAAAGGTAGGGAAGACGGATGAATGACAATCATGAAGGTGGCGCGAGTAGGTGGGGATAAAGAGAGAAGGAGCTTACCCAGCGCGGTCTCCCCTTCCGTACTCCCGCATCCTCATGCCAACGCCAGAGGTGGCAGGTTGGTGAGGCACGGACCTGCGTCGACGCAGCGGAGAGCGCGCGTACTCGTGGCGCATCCTTGCCGCGGACGTCGAAGGGGCGGATAAAGAAAGGCGGTGCAGACGAGACGAAAGCAAGGAGCTATTCTCCGAGCGTTAATGTTAGGGCCGCACAGCTAAAAGAGCGTGAGGTCGCCGCTGTGCTGGTGGGACACCGCTGCGCCGATCCTATCCGATCCGCGCAGTGGGTGGCACCAGTTCCGTGCAACAAGGTCGTACATGGAGGACTGCGCGTGGCAAATATATAAAAAAAGCCGGGGAAGACAAGGAAGATAAGAAATGACGACTAACCGAAATATATAATCTAGAGAAGAAGGTGAGTTCTGCGGGCGCGACGTGCAAGACCTTGGTGCTGGTGACCGTGCGGGCGGCGTGGTAGACCTGGCCGACTAGTCCTCAAGATATTTGCAGGAGCTCTGGGGGCTGTGGCAGTCTTCCAAGGCGAGCGGCAAGACAGTCAGTCCCCAAAGTTTAATGAGTTCGCCATAAGTCCCAGAGGCCGCCAACGGATTCCCGCGCAGAGGTAGAAAGACGTGCACGGAAGAGGATCTGAGTCCTCTTGCGTGCACGTGTTGATGGCGGCCCGGCCCGGATGATCGGGCGATCCATCGCTTTGACCGGTGCGTAGAATATTCGCAAGAGACGGATGCGGGGAGTACTTAGTATTACTATTATTAACAAGTGGATGTAAATATGTACATCGGGACAAATTATATTATAACACAAAACGAAAAAATGGTCTGCCTCCAATCAAACTGATGCCCTCGGGAGGATTTGAACCTCCATCTCTGACGCTCAGCTGTGGCTACCAAGCGCCAAGTGGAGTGAACAATTTACTGTTTAATCGACGAGGGCTTTTATGCCTTTTGAATGACATATCGCCAGATATTACTGCACTGTGGATCTAAAAAAAAGCCGGTCCAGTTCGGGCATTACCGCGCAAGTCCATCGTGTGGATCTAAAGTAGCGATGGAAAGTCCACAATTTCCGTATCTTTAGTGGGTGATTTCAAATTTATCACCGATTTCTTCACCGAACCTGATTATGATCCCCATCTGCTTACAACTGCGGGAAATTAAGTATTTACCTTCAAATTTGGCACACTCCAAAAAAAAAATCTTGTCCGTGGATCGAGATCTCCGAATATCTGGATCTGCTCAGAATCTGTCTTTTTCCGCCATCTGACGGCTCACTGGTACTGCTTCGGTGCAGGAAGAAAGAAAAAAAGATCCTTCATTACCAACATCATGCCCTCGGGAGGATTCGAACCTTCATCTCCCACTGCACAGAATTAGTGGCATTAATCTCGGTGGGTGATTTACCATTTAATCAACGAGGGCTGTATACCTTTTTGAATGAACCTTAATATACTTCAGCTATATCTGCGGCAAGGAAAACCGGTCAAGCTCACACACGCTCAGGAAATGGTTGGCTTATGTCAACCATGGCTCTGATCTGGTAGCGATTACAGCACACCGACAGACATTGGAGGGACTGGACTTACGACTCGTTATGAGTTAATTCCTGTATAAAATAAGTCAGACCTCGACGAAGCAGGCATGAGGAATGGGCGTGCGGACCACCTGTGTACCCAACTGAGCGCTCAAATAATGTGCCTAGGTTCAGTGAGGAACGATCACAAACATGTCTACAGTGCCCCACTACACACCGTTCAAAGGCTGCCGTTCACAAAGGATTTTTAAAAAGGGTTTCTTTGAACTTTATTTTGCCCAGAGCTTGCTGAAGTATTCAAGCTACTTGCGCGACACACGTTCTGCGCCGCAGAAAAGAATGTGAATGAAAGCAGATTATCGTGACGCCGCGGCTGATACACTTTGATGAACCCGTCTTGACACTGTCGCCATTGACTCGCCAAAGTCCTAGATTGTTTTCGCCAGATATTTGAGGTGAGTCGGAGGTGGATTCTATTGTCTTCTTACATCTCTTATATCTTTATGACCCGGGAATCCAAATTATGCACCAGAATTTTGTTGCGCATCGGTATGCACCGCGTCATTTAATCTATGAACTTTCGTTAACTGTCTTCAAGCGACTGCGGCCTGCTCAATATCATGCAGGATCCAGAACAACTCTACCACTCAGGCTTTCATCCCGTGAATTATTGCATGAATACAAACCACGATGCACTCGCCCATTCTCTCAAACGCACTGCTTGCTGGCCGCGCTACTACATCATAGACTTCGGACTCTCTCGTCGTTATAGTCCCGCCAAGGGACCGCCTACTGAGCCGACTCCAACGCTTACGCATGGCGACAAAGCTCCTCCGGAGTACGCCAAGGTAAGGAGTAATCCATTCCCGACCGACATCTACTATTTGGGGAACCTTCTAAAGCGACATTTCATTCGCTCTGACTAATGCGCTGTGGTTTGTCTGCTTTTCACACTGCATGGTTCAATATCTTACCTTTTGCTTACTGTCTCATAGCGCGACAGGATTCACATGCCGCTTCAATTCCTCCAGCCTCTGGTGGAGAAAATGACGAAGACAGATCCTGTCCTGCGGCCGACGATAGGTGAGGTGATCCAACGCTTCGATGCTGCTTTCGCGCGATTGGGCGAGTGGGAGCTGCGCAGGCCCGGCCAGGCGCTTGGTCTTGGATCGACCAGATGATCCGGCAGCGTTTCGGCGCATTCCGCCGTTGCTAGCCAGCCGTGCGTTCTAGGCGAATCAGGTAGCTCTGAGCCGTCGTATGCGTGCTTTTTATACCGACTCGGAGACACCCGTGCTCGTTGAGAGCCAAATTGTTCCGCCGTCAGTGGCTTGATGGGGAAGTTGTTCTCAGAGGCAGCTTGCTTGCGGCTTCATACTAGTTCATTTCTGTATTGAAACGTACTGCCTGTTTTTATGTATTATGCATTGTTTTCGCGTCGCCATTCTTCTCGTTTTCAACCCGGCTCACGTGATCATTTGGTTCAATTGTTTGTCCATCGTCATCCTACGGTGCTGGCGCGCCGCTGCACAGGACTTGCGCGGCGGACGGCTTCAGCATCGGCCACAGCGTTGCTATTGCGGCGGGGCGTGAACTGTGCATTGCTGCTGCGCCGTGGTTGCTGGACTGCATCCGCCACTGCGTTGCTGTTGCGGCGCGGGGTAGCAGTGGAGGCGCGGGTAGCATGCGAGCCGGACGGCCGCGGGGTGCGGTTCAGCGAGGGGGAGTTGGGTGGGGAGTAGACTTCGGCGTCGTCACCCCGCTTGAGACTCGCTGAGCGACTGGGCACCAGACCGAGCCCGTGCCGGCTGGGCGACGTAGGCGGCTGGGCCGAGTTGAAGCGCGACCTGCGGCGGGAGCGCTCCTCGGGCGTGAGCAAGGTCCAGTGAGCGAGCTCGGGAGGAAGTCCTCGAGGTCCTCGTTGGACGCCTCCCGCCGAGCCCTTGGGGTACGCGTCCTCGTCCTCGATCGAGATGTGGTACTCAGCGGTGGATGTGGGGCTCTGGCCATTACGCCGTCTCTCCTCTGCTTTAGTGGCGCGTGGACTGGCAGCAGCGCCTTCTTGCCTGGTCGTATAGGTGTTAGAAGACCTCCAACGCACGAGCAGTGAACGTGGTGCCAGGAATTGCACCCGGTACAATTTGTGGTAGGCTCTAGGCCGTTGTCTGAGCCCAGTAAGGCATTCGTCGTATTTATGCAAATACAACTACGCACCAGGCTTCCCGCAGCCGCATCTGAACCAGCCTCCATCTTCGACTATGTGTCCGCAAACAGTACAGACTTCCCGTGGACTTGGAGTGGAGTGGGAGACAATAACGGTACTGTGTGCCTGCGATCCAAGTATGATCTCCTCACGGGAATATCCCGGAAAGCGGTGGTGGGATTTTGACCTTGTACTTGATACGTAGTGTCGGATCATCCTTCTGGTATGAGCAGTTCGAAGGCAGAACAGAAACTCCTGGACCTGTTCCGACACTTCTACCAGAGTCGCACTTTTGTCAGACGATTTCCAGACGAGCTCCCTTCTGCCAGCACTTCCGACACTAATGCTAGGCTTCGGTTGGAGATTGCTGACCCAAAAATGAATCTAAATTGATGGTTGAATAGGAACCTGTTAAAGAATCGGGTGCGACGTCCGTCGTCCGATCGACCTCGTCACCTGCATTCACAAGGTATATATGTCAAATCTGCAATAGATACCAAAGAAAAAGTTACGGTAAAGTTGCCGGTTGGCGTCCTTGAAAGCCTGAAACGATTCAGAATTTTAGTAGCAATTCCTAGGGAAAGGTGAGGAAACGTACCATGCGACACAAGTTGTCGAGCAACTCAAGCGCGGCATGCCTCTGCTGTGTTTGCGCTAGGGACGTCGGAGAATCCATATCACAGTCGGAAGGAGATAATGAATTCCGTTTGAAACAAAGTTTAAGATTCCCGTCATTCCCGATTAAGAGATCGATATCCTTGCAGTTTCGAAGCAGATCGTCAGTCCTTTGTGCTTGAATGAGAGCAGGCTAGACGCACTGTTGGTTCCACATATTCTAGAGGATATCGCTTGTCTTCGAGATAGCTCAGCCCTGCCTGTAATGACCTTGAGACATTATAACGTGAACCGCAAAACACCGATGCCGACCGAAATCCCATGAACCTTGTTAAACAAGACAGTATGAGTGAAGGATTTCGAGTTAAAAAGTTTCAGCGGCGCACCAGTTGGACGCCGAGAAGAAGGCACTTGGAGCAGTTCCTGCCCGCAATACTGAAGGCGATCATGCATTTCGCAGGAGCCTTCAAACGCTGCTTGCGAATCAACGATAATTGAAGGCGTTCAGTGGTATCCTTTCTTACCGCCGTGATATATGATGAACGGATCTGGGGAATATTTCGAGGAGCATCCCATGATCTGCAAGAAATTTGGATGCCTGGTGACTAGTGTCAAAATTTGGCGTTGTGAAATGCAAAACTTCCTGACATCCAATTACGGCCGGTGGCTACTGCCTTCATCGCGGTCCTATGAGGTACAATATTAGATCAATCATATTAAAGCTATTGTATGTTGCCCTACCTCCTGGGCCCGCGTACCACTGAAGACTTTAACGGCCACAGCGCGACCCTCTAGCCTTGGCGGCATGGATCCGATAATTCGGACCGCATATCAATTGCCTCACTAGCTCGATTGACTCGTCGCTGACAATCTAGATCGGAAACGGTCAGAGGAAGAAAATTGATGATATATATATAATAGGCCTGCCGGAAGAGGCGACGGACCGCCTAGTCACAGGCCATCAGAGCCATGAGAAGCGCTCAAATAAAAATAATAAATCGCACTGCTGGAGGTGCGCACAGTCGGAAGAAGCTGGTACCGATTGTCGATGATATTGAAAGTACCATTATTTATGGCAAAGTTCCTCGCATTGCGGAACATGAAGCGCGACTCGGAGTGTCTAAAGCGCGATCAGACAAACGAGAAAGGCTTGGAGAAAGTAATTTACTTTTCCGTTCGAGCTGTAGGCATGATTGTGCGCATATTCGGAAACCCGGCGCAGCTATAAGCATGTGTTGCCACCAACACCACAGAACACCACCGTGACCAGAAAAGGAGCCAACAAAGCGGTTAATGTACACTGCCTTTTGATCAAACTTCCTTCCCAAATGGGATGTAAAGCTGTAAGCCGAGCTGTCCTTCCTCTTTTTCACCTCAGGCTCTGGCCAAGTGACCTTTGCGGGTGACTTGTCCTATGATGTCTTGTTGGGCGTCGGACACTAGCTATATGAGAATCAGTCGACATTGCGTGACAGCCGCGCGCACCGCAGGCCACGAACAGCTTCAGCAGGGGAGGACTGGGAACAGAGATGAAGAGCACAATGATCATTTATAGCGGTAGGATTGCGACACAACCATGCCTAGTCATGAATTCTCGAAGATGTCAGATCCCTGCCTTGGTATGTGTGTACTGAGGCGCCACATCACCAAATCTGGAGAAACGTTCCGATAGCTGCCGAACAGCGCCATCATTCCAGCTGATTGCAATCAAATCACAACCATTGTGCGCTCATTGCCAGTCATTGCCATGTCCGCCCAACCGTGCCGCTCCATTGGCAATGTGCATGCAATGATTTGGGTAGAGTGGGAATCATGGTAGTATGTGGCAAGTACTTGACTTGTAGATAATTATTGTGGCTGCCTTCGCAAAATTTCTATACATATGCCCGTTCAACAGAATGGGCCGACTTTTTGTCAACATTACCCCGTGATCAATTGTAGCGTGTCTAATTCTTTTACAGTGAGTCAGACATCGTCTCCCGCATATACAAACACTCATAGAGGTACTATCTTATTAGATCATCTTCAGAAAACAATTCGTTGCATCAGGAAGTTTTTTATTCTTACAAA